CACAGTAGTGCTATTGGCCATGGAGCCTTGTGGAGGGGTGCTGGCTGGTTCCGGTTTTATAGATGAGAAATTGGAGAGGTTGATTAGGGCTGAGGGGCCAAACTGGTTCATAATCTGCCGTGCTTTGGACTTCAGCTCATAGAGTTTATCAAGATCCTGTTTCTTTTTAGAGCTGTGAGGGTCAAGGCCAATCAAAGGCAGCAGCGTCTATCTCCCCGTGATATGCAGAGACTGCCCAACTGAAGCGTTCATCTCAGCAGCCGGTCCGACTGCAAGGCCCTCCCCGAGTACTTCTGGCACCGCTGCCCCGCAAGCACTTCTAATACAATATTGAATAGAAGTGGTGACAGTGGACATCCTTGTCTGGTTCCTCTTCACAAGGAAAATGATTTTGTCTTTCTCCATTGAGAATGATATTGGCTCTTGGTTTTGCATTTATACTTTTCACTACATTGAGGAAATTTAGGGTATCTTCTTTTAATAGTTAACTCCTTAATTTCTTTGGAATCTATTTTGTTAAAAGGCATGGAAATACAAACATTAAGAATAGAAGGGCTGGGAGTTGGAAACAACCCAAATGCCCATCAACAAACGAGTGGATAGAGAAGTTGTGGTATATTCACACAATGGAATATGATGCTGCATTGAAAAACAAGGAACTCATGTAATATTATTCAAAATGGGTAACCCTGGAGGACATTATGCTGAGTGAAATATCTCAGTCACAAAAGGACAAATACTGTATGGTGCCACTGTTGTAGAATGAGGCTGACATCAGGGTGGGGGTAAGAGTAAGAAAACCTGGATAAATTATGCATACTGTGTTAAAGCCGATGAGGGAGAGAACAGTTTAAAAGATATATCTTTTAGGCATTATGATTTTCATAAGAGTTTGGAATGAGGGTTGCAGAGTGGACTATACTCGGGGTTGGGGTGGGGGGTTGTGGGGGGATTGTATACTAATGAAAGAGGTTTTTCTTTTGCTTTTCAAGAAGAGTGAACTGGGGGTGAGGGTGGGGTGAGCGGGGAGAAAAGTGCAACAGTGAATGAATGAAAATTCAAAATATTTGTAAATATTCATTGAAATTAATAAAAAAAATAATAGAAGGGCTTTTAAAAAATTAATAAGTCTTCTTATAATACATGTAGTTCGTTGTTCCCCACATTTGATTTTCGTGTCTCTGAAACTTTGCCTGTCTTTGTCCTCTGCCCGAGACATTCATTCTCCTACCCCCTCATTTGTGTAACTCGTCCATCAAAACTCAGCGTGAAGTGCACAAACCACTTGTGTGAACACCTCTTTGCTCCGCATCCCCTGCTCTGGGCAGATGGCTCCGCTCTGTGCTCCTGTGGTTCCGAGAGTCCGTATTGATCTTGGGAACCCTAGGGAGCAGTTCTACTCTCTGTGCTACAGAGTCACTATGAGTCAAATTTGACTCAACAGCAATGGTATGGGGATTTTGAAAGAAAGGATCTTTACAGACCACTGACGAAGGCTTCATTTCTGCCTGATAAAATATGGCACATCACAATTTCCCCCCCATTTGAGACAGGTTACTCGTGTAAACATTAAATGAAAATTAACAAGATCTTGTTGGTAATTAACACACAAGAGCCAGATACTTAGAACCACCAAAATTCCAAAATAGATTGCTAGCAGAATGACAATGTTCCCAAGTATATATAGATCAATTTAAAATAGTGTTAAGTAACTAGAGACAGTATAATAGCAAAAGAATACCAGATATTAGTGGTTGTTCCTGTGTGTTGGGGATAGTGATCAAATGCTGAAATCAGAATAGTCTGATGTCTTTTTCTTTCTTGTAAGAACAACCATTCATGTTTGGCTCCTCTTGGTAGATTGTCCTAGTAGATTTTCCTAGCATACAGCTCCTTGAGTGATGAAGTCACTGTTCTGAGTCTTTATATGTTTGGGCCAGAATTCATCATTGAATATGAAGATTCAATGCATGAAGCCGGACTATGGCACCACCTGACTGAAGTGCCTGGAATCCAGACCACGGCCCAGCTGAAGCTGTCTCCTCACGTGAACTACTCCTTCCGAGTGGTGGCTGTGAACAACATTGGGAGCAGCCCGCCTAGTGAGGCTTCAGAACAGTATCTGACCAAAGCAGCAGGTAAGGCCGGCTTTGTGTGAAATTAATGAGAAGGGAAAGTGTCCCACTACTTGAAAAGAAAAATAAAACCAAAATGTGACTGCTTGACTTCTAGAACCAGACAAAAACCCCACGAATGTGGAAGGACTAGGATCAGAACCTGATAATTTGGTGATTACCTGGAAGGTAATATGTCTTTATTATTTTGTTATATACCTTAACATATTTAAGAGGCAGTTTTGTGTGGTGGTTAAAAGCTTGGTCTCCAGAAACAAAATGCTTAATTGTCATCCTCAGCTCTGTTTCTTGCTTGTAGGGCCCTAAGCAAATGGTTTTAACATTTCTGTTCTATGTTTATATGCTGGAATCCAAAACAGAACCAACCTCAGAGAATTAAAGGACATAATATATGTAATACAGCTAGAACAGTGCCTGGTATGTGTATATGTTTAACAAATGCTAACTAACATCACTGTGGTGCTGGAGAAAAGCACTGAACATCTCATGGACTGTCAAAAAGCCAACAGATATGTCTTAAAAAAGGACAGGGCAGAGTGTTCCTTGGAGACAAGGAAGGCAAAACTTTGTGTCTCACATATTTTGGGCACATTTCTAGGAGAGGATATTCTCTGGAAAAAGATATCATACTTGGAAAGATAAAGAGTTGGCAAAAGAGAAGAAGATCTTTGAAGGGATGGATTGACACAGTGACTGCAATAGTGGGTTTAGGTCTGTCACTATGAGTTGTACTCAACTCGATGGTACCTAACAACAACAACATCATCATCATACAGTTCTCAGTAGTTCATTTGCTTTTATTTTATTATTTGTGTTTTCTGGATTTTGAACATAAACTTACTTATTTAAGTAACTTTATATATCCATATACACATAGAAGTACAAACATATATATATATGTATATATGTATGTATATATGTGTGTGTATATGTGTATGTGTATGTGTTTATGGATATGGATATAGATATATATATATATGGATCTCGGATGATTTAGTGGTAAAGAAATGTGCTGCCAACACATTGGGTGTTGTGGTTTCAATGCACCAGCTTCTCTGCCAAAGAAAGTTGGGCTATCTCCTTCCATGCAATTTACAACCTTTGAAAACCCACTCAAGGGTCAGCTATGGGTTGGTTCTGACTTACCAGTAAATAACAACTCCTGTGTCGTGTGTGTGTGTGTGTGTGTGTGTGTGTGTAGAGAGAGAGAGAAAGACAGCTCTGATGCCCGAATGAAAAAGGAGTTGTGCTGCTAGCCCAGAAACAAAGTAATTCAAGTCCACTGTGTGCTCTGTGGGAGAAGAATGGGCAGTCTCCTCCCATGTGATTTACTGCCTCTGAAAACCTACTGGGTGGTCAGTTATAAACCAGTTAACTCAAAAGTACATAATAACAACATGTATGTTTATACACATGTACACACACAAACAAGCCAACCCTCTGTCCCTGTTTTGTTTTATTTTTTTAAGTAAAGGGATAAATAGTTCACAAGATTCAGTGGCCAGGTGAAATAGGCAATGTTATATATTATCACACAAACAGAATTATACATAGAAATATTGCAAATAGCCCGCCCTTGGCCGTAGAGTCGAAGTTTGAGAAGCTTTTGTGGTATTTACTGCTTTATGTAATTTGCGAACATTGAAATTGTCTCAAACAAGCTTTGAGTCTTTTACACAATGTAAAAAGGTGAAAGATCTTTGGATAAAGTTAAAAATACTTCGTGTTTTAGTATTTCAGTGCGCTTCTTTACATCTGGGAATTGAACCAGTGAAAGGCTGTGTGGAGTCCATCTGTTTGTTGGGGTTTTAAATTGTGTTTTATTCCCATGCACTGATTTTTTTTCACCCCCTCCTTCCACACACTAAACTCTGGGAAATCTTTATTTCCCTCCCCTTCCCTCTTTGTATATCCATATACCTCTTACTATTTATCTTTCATTTTTTATAACAATAGTCTTTTACAGTATTTCTTTTTATGTGCCTGAGTTAGTGCACTCAGCATAATGCTCTCTAGCCTCTCTCACGTTATATAGTATTTTTCAAAATCATTGTTCCCGAGTGCTGCATAGTATTCCATCATGTGTGTGTAGCATAGTTTCTCAATCCGATCGTTTGTTGATGGACATTTGAGCTGTTTCTATTTTCTTGCTATTGTGGATAATGCTGCTATGACTGTCAGCATACGAATCTGTTTGCATCTCAGTGCTGTTTCCTTGGGGTATCCTCCCGGCAGTGATATAACTGGACTCTTCGTTAGTCCATCTGTTTGTAAAACTTTCTTTGTGTGACTTTTCTTGTAGCCTTTGAGTGGCTTTGACTCTAACGGGCCAGGCCTTCAGTACAAAGTCAGCTGGCGCCAGAAAGATGGCGATGATGACTGGACATCAGTGGTAGTAGCCAACGTATCCAAATACATCGTCTCGGGCACCCCGACTTTTGTCCCGTACCTAATCAAAGTGCAGGCCCTGAATGAGGTGGGATTTGCCCCGGAGCCAGCTGTGGTCAAGGGACATTCCGGAGAAGATTGTAAGTGTTTGATGCAGCTTCTTTTACATACCTGTGACAAACCAGTTTGTCTCCAGAAAAACTCATTTACAAAGGAGCATGCCAAGACCTAGTCCATGGGGAGTGGGGCTGAAAACCCAAAAGCTGAGCCTTTCTGGTGGTTCAAATCCACCATCAGTTCCTTGGGAGAAAGAAGGGCAATCTCTTCCCATGAATGTATAGCATCAGAAACCCACTGGAAAGTCAGCTGTGAGCACACGCTAGCTTGAGGGCAAAGAGTGCAAGTGAGTGAGGGTGTGAGGGCAGGAGGTGGCCATAACTTTGCTAAACTTCTCTGAATTTGAACAGCCTGATGGTAAAAAGGGGGGGGGGTCAGAGAATTTAAAGTGACAGTTTTAAAAAAAAAACAACATTGCCCTCACAAAGTCCAGTGATTGCGTAAAAGAAATCTGTTCATAATACTTGAGAATCTTATGAATAAGGTTAGAACATGCCTCAAGCTGAAATCATTAGACAGAGACATTTTTTATGTTCAATTCCAAGTACCATTGATACTTCTGCCCCTGCCCATCCTTTCTGTAGTGCCAATGGTAGCTCCTGGCAACGTGCGTGTGAATGTGGTGAACAGTACTTTAGCCGAGGTGCACTGGGACCCAGTACCTCCGAAAAGCATCCGTGGACACCTTCAAGGCTACCGGGTAAGTGAAGTGACGGCCTGTGTTCTTCCCTCACTAACAGCATCAGCACAACACACAGCATAAGGCTGGGGGAGATCTGGGCAGTTCATTCATTTCATAGCCTCAGGCAGGCCCTGGCTAAGCACCCCAACTACTGTGGAATCAAAATCTTCCTGCATCCAGTGTCAGAAAAATAGATCTTTCTCCATTTTCCCTACAGATGGTCCAACATTCTGCCAACTCAAAAATTAGCATGGGCTCCAAATGGAGAGAAGTAATTTCTAAAGCCTGAAATCTAACAAAATGTCCTTCACTGTAAAGCAAAGTCAGCCACATTTGTTGAATGTATAGAATGATCCTAGAAATAGTCTGGACTTTTTAAAAAGAACTCAGACTATACATTGTTATTGTTGTTGTATATCATCGAGTTGGAACCAACCCATAGCTGCCTCTCTGATGGGCTTTCAGAGGCAGTTAATCACATAGGAGGAGAGTGCCCACCCTTCTTCCATGGAGCAGCTGGTGGATTTGAACTGCATGCTTTCTGGTTTGCAGCACAGCTTCCTGCCACTAGACCACCATTGCTCCCAGTACAATAAGATTATATATTAAAGTCATATAATCCAGACTGGATCATCTTGCTCTTAGAAACACAAGTGACTGAGTCATGAAGACTTTGGATTAGTAGAAAAATAATTTTACACACACCTCCTCCCCTATCCCACCCACGCACACGCTCAAAAAAGTTACTACTTTGGTTTGCTATCCCTGACCTCTAGAGGTCAATTTTTATACTATATTATGTTCAACTTTGTTAGCTTAATATTACCAAATTCTATGTGTCTATGTTGACTTTTCTTTAGAATGCCTTTAAATTTCCAGGACTCAGGGAGCTCTGGTGGCCTAGTGGCAGGAAGCTGCGCTGCAATCCCAGAGGCGCATGGTTCAAATCTACCAGCTGCTCTGCTGGAGAAGGAGGGACAATCTCCTCCTGTACCAGTCGGACCCGATTTGATGGTACACACACAAAAATAATAAAAAAATAAAATTTTTAAAAAAATTTCTAGGACTCATGTTAGAAGGACCTAGTAAACAATCCTTCTGGATTTGTAAGTAAAGTTAATTAGTTCATATCTCTAGAAATTATCCCTACCATTTAATAAGAATAACAATTTCAGTTAAGTGATTCTAGTTGGTCCTAGTGGAGAAGCCTCTTGACTTGAAGTGGAGAGTCCTTGATGATTGCTTATCTCTGACAAATCGTTCAATGGTCCACAATCTCAGCCACACCATGCTGTGTTGGTTTTTTGTGTGCTATCAAGTTGTGACCGGCTCATAGCTCACCTTCCAGTGGGTTTTTAGACGTAGAAAACTGGCAGAAAATAGGAGGACATTGGCCATCTTTCTCCTGTAGAGCAGCTGGTAGATTCATAGCACATATCTTTAGGATTGCAGCACAGCTTCTTTCCAGCAGAGCCCCATTCATACCATAGGAATAGTAATAATATGACCTCACTGTGATTATGGTGAAATCAACCTGACAACAGGTTTGGTTCGGTTTGGTGGTTGTTAAGTGAGATAATGTATATGATGTTGTATTAACTGCGGAAATCTACTTAAATATTATATTTTTATTTTTAGAATATCTAATACAAGTTAAAAACCCTTAACTTCTTCCATTGTAATCCATTCATCTCATGTTCTAGAAATAATTGTATGGGCCTCACGCTGTTCTATTTATTTCACTTATTCCCCTCCTCATTTTCTCTCATTATCTGTGAGTTTCTCAGCTCTCTTGCCTCAGAAACAGTACTTACTAGTTATTCTGATAATTTTCTTCTATAATGTACCAAGAGAACTTTCTAAGGTGAAAGCTAAACTTTCATTTCAGTCAGCATGGGGAATTCTTTTGATTTATTGAACAAGACCTGTTTATTTGTGATGTTTCAGATTTACTACTGGAAGACACAGAGCGCACCTACAAGGAGCAGGCGTCACCTTGAGAAAAAGATCCTCACTTTCCAGGGCAGCAAGACCCACGGCATGTTGCCAGGACTGGAGCCCTTCAGCCACTACACACTGAATGTGCGAGTGGTCAATGGGAAAGGGGAGGGCCCAGCCAGCCCCGACAGTGTCTTCAATACTCCAGAAGGAGGTAGGGGATGGACATTATCTGAGATCTCAAAAACATATGGCACAGCCTGGCAGAGCTTTGCACAGCAGAGAGTTTGGAAAACCAAGGTGATTTTCCAGTAGATAAAAATAGCACACACAAGGATGGCCAAATGTCAGTTCATGTGAGGCCCGTGGGATATATAACTCTTGACTTATTTTTTTTCTCTACATGCAGCCATATTGCCAGCAACCTCCTCTAATAGACTTATTTGGGTCATTAACTTACTGATCTTGAACATGTTACACACCCTCTAAGCCTCTGTTTCCTCACCCAAGAAGTGTATGAACTAAATCTAACAACATCAGAAAAATGCTTGAGAAATTCTTTCTGTAAGGCATAATTCACTTCTACAACTCCCTTCTCAGAGGACTTTTTGGTATATGATCTGAAGTTGAACAGATTAGAGGGTAGGATCAAGCATCCAAAGTTGAAGAGGAGAAGTTTGTATACAAAAGAATAGGCAGCCTGAGTTGGCAGTAAAGGGTGTCACAGAATGAAAACATTTATTAAGTTTCATCAAGTCAGTTCTGACTGTGACAGAGTAAAACTGCCTCAGAGGAGTTTTCTAAGATATAATCTTTATAAGAACAAATTACCTTGTCTCTTTTCCACAGAAGCACTAGGTAAGTTTGAACCACCAACCTCTGGGACAACAGCCAAACATTTAACCACTGTACTATCAGGGTTCCTAGTATAAAAAGATAAGAACTTGAAAAGGTGCCCAGGTGGGCTCTATTTGGTTAGAATTTTGCACGAGCCCAGCCATGAGAATAGTCCAGATTGTGTGACATTTGCCTTAGATCTTTTTGATGGGTGAATGTCACAGATGCATCCTGCCCTGACTCATCGTAGTTCATGTGCTCATGGTGTTGGAAGTTGCCCACAGCCTCGGAGAGATATTCTGGGCCCCAGCTTTCAACCCATTACAGCAACTTCTTTTCCTTGATCTCCTCACCTCCTTAGAAAGTCAAGACCCCTTCTGCTAGAGGTTGTCACTGGTTAAGACCCCACATAGGTCCTTTTAGGTGGTTTGAGGAAATTGTCTCAGGATATTAAAAGACAAAGAAGAGAGGAAGTATGTAGTATGCACGAAGACAGGGAATTATAAAACAGCTTGGTCAAGGAGCTGCAAATCTTGTGGCTGGAAATAGTACAGAAAGCGAGGAAGGTCAGCTGGGGAGGACCCGTATCCTCAATGGCCTTGAGTGCTGTAGACGAATGCCTGGAGGGCCAGAGGCTCTTCTATGATCACCTAACAACAGGGCTCCCTCATTCTTAGAAAAGTAGAGAGTCCATAAAGGAAGACGTTTGGTGAGAAGAATTGGCAGAGAGACTGCATCCGTGGGCACAAGCGCAGTGTTGGGAGGGTGACACAGCGTCAGGCAGGGTCTCGTTCTGTTGGGCACAAAGTTGCTATGATTCCAAGTCCACTTGACAGCACCAGGCAACAGCAAATATCTTCAGAGGACAATGAATGGATTTCAGAAGCTATGTGAAACCCCTCAAATTGTGTGCAAAATGTGAGCATTTTTCCGGAGACAGTCAGTGGCTGTCCGCACAGTCTCCAAAGGGTTTCTCACCCCCAAAATTTTAAAGCCACTGGTGGAGTTGGAAAAGCTGAGAAGAGTTCCACGAAATTCCACAGAACAGTGAATGTCTGTGGTATACCAGGGAGCTCTCGTGGCGGAGCCTTTATCAAGTGTTGGTGTATCTCTCGCGCACGGGATCCCCCAAGTGGCTCAAAGGGAGAAAGATGGGCAGTTTCCTCCTGTAATGATTTACAGGGTCACTGTGAGTTGGAACTGATCTGACAGCTGGGAGTTGAGTTGGTTTGCATTTATAGTATAATAGGCACTTTTCTAGACCAGGGAAAGGCCAGTGAGGCTTGAAGTGAGGCAGTGACAGGGAATATGGGGAGATGAGGGTATGACTAGGAGTAAGACTGTTACTTTTTTGGTACTCTGATGACCCTACGTGACCCGATAGAACTGTCCCCCAGAGCAGTCTTGTCTGTAATCATTACGGAAGTGGATCATCATCCCTGTCTTCCATGGAGTCCCTGGGTGGATTTGCACCACCGGCCACGTGCTTAACCTTTGCACCTTGAATTGACAGGATTTAGTGAGTCCCGCGAGATAGTGGCAGTGAGAACAAGGAGAAATTCAAGTTGACTGTGGTTTCTGGCCAGAGTAAACGGTGCTGTCAGTGGGTCTAGGGAATATGATGGTTGGGTAGGGAGGTCCCTATGAGAGAGCTGCCATCATCCATCATCCTCATGAGGAAGTAAATAAACCAAGACTAGGCATGGTTCCTCTGGAGAGGTGCCAGGCCTTACTGTGGGGAGCCCGAGGCCTCTCCGACACCCCCAGGACCAGAAGCGCGCCAGCTCTGGGGCTTTCGGCCACCGCCACTGGCTCCTGGACAGCTGTCAGCCGAACAACTGTGCTCCAGCACCTGGCCCGAACCCAAGGCCAAGCAGGTCATGTATTCTGAGCCCAACGCCCTGCAGGTCATGTGCCCTGAATCGAGTTACTTCTACTCAAAAGTTTGGTTGGAATTGTTTCGCATAGTGATTATTAGCTTTTATGAACATCAGTTAGGAGCAAATAAGTATTTTAAAAACCACTGGTTTGGAGCCATATGAAAAATCATCTATATTTGGAGAAGAAGGAATAGAAAGAGATCGACTGAGTGGGTGTATGTCACAGGTCTGTACTAAATGGTTTGTTTGTTGGTTTGTTTTTTTTTCAGCTGATCAGAATTAAGAATGAATTATGGGGAATCAAAAGTCTTTGGTTCTGTGGATGTGGTGAAATGCGTTATTTTAATATATTATGGGGCAGTCACAAACCTTCGTGCTGATGTGTGTTTCCATTTCCAGTCCCCAGTGCCCCGTCCTCTCTGAAGATCATTAATCCCACGCTGGACTCGCTCACCTTAGAATGGGACCCACCAAACCACCCAAATGGCATTTTGACTGAGTACACCTTGAAATACCAGCCAAGTAAGTTCGTGGCAGGGAGAGAAAAGGGAAATAGAATTAATTTTAAAAAAAAAGAAAAAAAAACCCACCAAATCTAGTATCTTAAAAACCTGTGTTTGTTTTTGTTTTGTATTTATAGAATATATACATATATTATTTTTGGAATTAGTAATAAGAGGAGCTTTACATTTTGTTTTTGAAAGAAAATTCGTGGATACTCTGTTATTAAATATTAAACAACCTGCCAAGTAATGGAGACATTTGAAGGTGGAGTACAGAGCTTAAGGGGGGTTATTGGTGACCAACGGAGTAAGACGTGCTACCAACCAAAAGACAGATGCCTCGAATCCACCAGCTGCTTTGAGAGAGAGATATAGGTCGTTTCCTCCTGTGTGATTTACAGTCTTTAAAAATCCACAGGAGGGTCAGTTATGAGTCGGTTTCAATTCAATGGCAATGAAGGGGGTTTTAGTTTAGTATTTTGTTGGTGGCAGAGGGAGCTGACCAGCTAACCCAAAGGTGATGCCTTTCTGGTGGTTCAAAACCACCAGCTACACAGCAGGAGAAATAGGGGAAATCTCCTCCCATGCAATTGAAGGCTCTGAAAACCCACTGGAGGGTCAGTTATGAGTCAGATTCAAGTCAGTGGTAATGAGTTTGAGGATTTTTAATCATTGGTTTGGGAAGACAGTATCTGTAACTAGAAAATGCAAATCGTAGAAGTTACTAGGCTACAGGGTTGCAAAAAATAAAAAGAGATGAGGGTTTATTAACTATACACAACTCCACCACCTGAAAATCCAGAGGTAAGAAATGCCCCCCTCCACAAAACTGTCCGCCAGCTATTCCGACTCACGCCGGTCCTACATTGGGTTTACAGGAAGAAACTATCTCATCTTTCCTCAGAGCAGGAGGGTTCAAGTTGCCAAGGATCAACCTAACTTTTATCATGTTATGCCATAAGGGCTCAAAGTGTCTTTCTAAAGAAAAAAAAGTTTGAGGTTATTTAACAATACTTAACTCTATCTGCAAAAGGCACAGAAATGAGAAGTGCTGTTATGGCTTAACTATGACTTTCTCCTATCATGTGAGCTTTTCCTTTGTTTTGCCACATTATAGGGACCATAGTGTATTATCACTTAGTTATATCTTGCAAAGGGTAACTAGAATTACAAGATTAAGTGACACAAGGATCTGTAATAATATTCCTCTCACAATTAATTGTGGCTATTACTTGTTTGTTATTTCTTACTGACAGTTAACAACACACATGAATTAGGTCCACTTATAGATGTAAAAATTCCTGCCAACAAGACACGCTGGACTTTAAAAAATTTAAATGTCAGCACTCGCTACAAGTTTTATTTCTATGCACAAACATCGGCAGGATCAGGAAGTCAGATAACAGAGGAAGCAATAACAACAGTGGATGAAGGTAAGATGGGTATGTATAAAATTCATGATTATAAGTATCAGCAAGCAGACACCTTAGGATAAGCTTCCTCTTTCCTTCCAGACATAGATGGTGCCTCTTACCCAATCAGGACAGATAGTTATTTGTGAATTTTCATTCTCATATATTATTCAATTATTTAATTCCTATTTGAAGTAACTTTGATATTTTTTTTCAAGCCCCAGTGAAACCTTTAAGTTTACATTAAAATATTGGGATGGGAAATTAAATTTTGCCACATTTTACTTCAAAGCTCAAAGACATTTTTTCAGGGTAGGATTTTAAAATTCTTTATATATGTGTGTACAGAAACAAACACACTCACATGGCACATACATAGGACACATATATATACTTAAATATAAATCACTTTAGTTCTAGTCCTGATTTACTGGAAAATAATTTGCTAGTTCATTTATTGATTTAGATTTCCTAGAAACCAAATTGGATCAATCACTAAGTAAGTAGTTTGTTTGTTTTGCGTTTAAGCAAGGAATTTATATTTTGGTGTTTGTATTTGGTACAGAGAAAGAAAATGAGCCCACTAAAGTATCTAAAAAAAACGAATTCATATCATACTTTTAAAAATCATGTTGAAAATTTTCCATTTTCATGAAACTATTAAAACATACAAAAGATTTTATGTTCCCACAAATCTCCGTCTTAGAGATATTCCTGGTTGATTATGCCTTAGATTCTCTTCCATGGCATAAAAAAAATGGATGTTTCTTCTTCCCCTAAAAAGTCATTTGAAGTATTCTGAGCCTTGTAGGATAATATTCAAGCATGAGTAATCCATTTAAGCGATGCATAGATTTGATGATGAGGTGGTTTGGCACAGGGTCTCTTTCGCCCCTGGACCTTCGTGGTAGACCTCCTCCTCCTTGCATGCTTTCGCATGTTAATAAATGTCGTTCTAGGGCACGCGTGCTCCCGGGTGTGTGACATCTAACTATATAGTGTCCTGTTTCTGTTTCCCTTCGTTAAAGCTGATAATCACCCACCCGATGCAGGTGCAGGCAAAGGTAAAGAACTCACGTGCATGATTTTATCCATGTGTGAGATTTGCAATGTCAAACATGGGGAAGTGCAGCATGGGTAAAGAAAAGAGAGAAAGGAAAATTAAATGTTCTTTGAGATACCAAACAAAAGATCCTTTTTTTCTTTTTTAAGAAATGAAATTTTAGCAGGTTTGGGTTTTAAAATTCATTCTAGTGTCTTTTACTCATAGAAAGCTACACAATGAATCCTCCAAAAAATTTTTTCTCAAGTTGTTCCTGGTGCAAATGCCATTCTTAGCTTTGAATTATATGATAGCAGCTGGGTCAGACAGGACCACAACTGTAAATTTGTCACAGAACTGCTTTATAGACACGCCACACGTGACCAGTGGCTGTAGAATCAGTTGTGGCTCCTGACAGTCACTTCTTGCATCAGAAGAGAACTGTGTTCTCCAGGGTTTCCAGGGGCTGATTTTTCTGAAGTAGAATACCAATATTTTCTTCTGACGTGGTCTTAAACCAACAACCTTTAAATTAGCAACCAATCCCCACCACCTAGTTTCTTCCATGATATCTACTACTTGTGAGAAGGCAGATCAACTGAACTTCCCAATTGAATCTGAATTTGCTGCACTCTCATAAACATAACACACGCCAGTTGCCATTACACTACACTGTCCATTGGCAATTTGAGATTAGCAATACCCTGCAATGAAAACTCTTCTACCTGGATGCCCAAGGAGCGAGTGTTCCCATCAGCCTGCATGCTGTTGTCTACTGTGTTATTCCATCCTGTGTTCACCAAACGACTCAAGTCTCCTTCTAGAGGAACACTGGGTAATAGCTGTTGACTCGCAGTTGGTTGCTTTGCCCTTATTTCTCACAGCTCTCTGAGTGAGGAAGATTTGGGGGGAGAATTGTGCTTCGATAAATTCTAATATGTCTTCCACCTGTGCCAATCCTAGAGCACCCACAATTTCTGACCCTTGGCTGTTAGTTCTCAGGGAACGGGATGAGCCCACCGCAGATTACTACTTTCACGTGGGATAAAGCATTTCCCAGATTACGAGTATACACCCTGCACACTACCCAGAGTTATGAGCCCACCCACACAAAGGCTATTACAGTAAAAACCCAAAGCACATGTCATTTGAAATTTGTAATAACAAACATATACTACTTTAAGGCATGCATTAAAGCATTATCATCATTATTACCAAGTTATTATAGTAAGGATGTTTTCAGGTATCTGGAAGTATTTCTTTAATGATTTTCATGCAGAGGAAGGTACAAGATATCCTGAGCTGGACATGCTGGGGAAAGTAGGTGATCAGTGAAAGAGAGGAAGTCACTTAAAGGGACAGGTTGACACAGGGACTGCAGCAATGGGCTTGAATCTGGTCCAGGTCATGAGAACGGCACAGGATGGCGCAAGGTCTGGTCTTGTCATTCAAAGTGTCTATGAGTTGTAGTTGACTCAATGCCACCTAACAAGAAGAGAAACATTTTATTAACTAGTGTTAGGGATGAGCTATACCTATTTCAACAAATGTACAAAGTTGATGTTATGGCAAATTTATGAACATAATTTCTTCATAATCAAGGAACTGCCTGTTCTGTGCTCAGAGGGACTCTTGGACTTTGAAAGACTAAAAGAATACAGCAGGAATTGGAGGGAGACAAAGAAGAAAATTATAATTGAGTACCTTGTCCTAAATTACTAAAATCTTAGGAACTTCTATCTCCTAGAAACCACATTTAGTCTATATCTAAACAGATATGTTTATATATTTGTTTATAGTTGGAGCCTTGGAAAAGTATAAAATGCAAATGGAATAGGTTTAGGAGAGATTATAAAAACTGTAGCCATTGTCAGGAAACTTTATCATAAATTATGCAAAGACCAAGTTGCAATTGGAGAAAGAAGTAAGCCGCTGCCTTCTGTGTGTAATTCTTCACTTATAATTAGCTATCCATTAGTTGGTTTACAGTAGTTTTCTCCTGAGTTCCCGTTGTCACTTTTAACTGGAAGATTGCAGTGGAAGCCCTGGCTTTTCTCTACCTCAGTCAACAGGTCACTGAGACTGCTTACAGCAGCTAATGAGGTCCTTGGACTGCAGTAGACCGAGGAGAGAGCTTGTGCTTCTCATTGACTTTTTTATCTTTGAAGAAGTGCATTCCACTTGGGAGATGGGGTTGTTATCAGCCTTATTTTTGGTTGTTGTTGTTTTTATTGTTATGTACCATTGAGTTGCCTGTGACTCATAGCAACCCTATGTACAGCAGCTCTGAAGCCTGCCCTGTCCTGAGCCAGTCTCACTGACTCAATACACCTACCCCCACCCCCACCCCACTGCCCCAGTTACTGTATCAATCAACCATATCTTTTTTCATGAAGAGCCTGGGAAGGTCAAACTACTGACCTCTCGGTTAGCAGTCAAGCACCAGGGCTCCTTATGATTACAAAGACAAGAAATTTTTAAAATGAGCGTAAACGTTCACTAAGCCCTCTATGGATATGAGGTGTTGTTATGCACCATTCGCTGGAACCAATTCATGGCTGATCCTCCAACAGGGTTTCAAAGACGGTAAATCAATTTCATGGGAGGGGAGGACTCCCAGAGAGCAGCTGGTAGAGTCGAACTTTGATTTGGCAATGCAACTTCCAAAAAGCTGAATCTGGCTTAATTTTCTAATTATTTCTTTTAATAATGCAGCAGTAATTAAGCATTGATTACACATAATTACTTTCTACTCTGGTAAGATTTTAAACTGCTCAAGAATGATTTGCTGGCCTGGATTTTCCTTCTTGAAGAATGTTTTCTTTTCCAGTCTAAGAATGCATTGGATCTTCTTCTTTATTTCTCTTTTCCATTCACAGTTTAGTTTAGATATTCTCTGAGACAGGAGGGAGAAAAATTTTCAGTTCTTATAAATTTTGCTCTCTTCATGTGTATATTTTTTAATTTTAATTTAAAAAGAAAGAATAAATTAGAGATTAATTATTGAAAAAATGTGTAATATCCTTATTTGTAGAAATATAAGTTACCAATTAGTTTAATGCCTTTTTGACCAAAGCGAGGAAAACATGCATTTGAGTTTACTTCAAAAATTATTTTCACAGGTTTTAAGACATGTTAGTGAAACCCAAATTTCCAGATATGCAATTACAATATGATTATTTAAACCAGGTAGCAGAAGTTAGGATCATTTCATTAACTTTGGGATGCTATTCTAGTCCTTTTCTTATCCTTCTCCTCAATGTATTTAAAATGAATATGGAGATGCTCTTGAGATACCGGGAATAATTTCATTCACTCACTTATTTGGTTAACTCTCTTCATATTTGTGTAAAAATTGTAGTCATTTGTGGGTATTTGCTCAATTTATCTTTCACTTTAAGTAGTTTCAGGTCTAAGATTCAAGAGAAATTCCCAGAAGACCTGTGAAGATATCTGTAACATGCAGATAATGGATTTGGACTATGTCCCATAGCATGGTACTCTTTTGTTCTTGGCACCAACCATTAGAATTTGTGAGATGATGAGTTAAGGTGGAGCTTCAGGGGAAACAGGGAAGAATGAGGAAGAATCTATGTCTTTGAGTTGTGATGTTGGAGAAGAGTCCTGTTTGTCCCATGGACTGCCACAGAACAAGCAAGCCCCTCCAACCAGATAGATTGACACAATGACTGTACAAATGGGCTCAGCCATCTCAGAAATGGTGAGGAAGGCACAGGATTCAGGTCTCTTCATAGGGTCACTATGAGTCATACTGGACTTGATAGTACCCAGCAGTACAGAAAGAATGGAGAGAAGCTAAGTGGCTAGACCGAAACTGAACACAGATTCTTGACCTAATTAGCAGCTGCTGTTCTCAGCCAGTTGGACTGAAGAGAGAAAGTCATTGAAGAGCTGGTGACATGATCAGAGATCCAAAGTTATTGATCCTGTTACCAATAAGGTCAGAAGGAAAGTTAAGGAATTATTT